TTCATCACCAATGGTAAATATCACTTTTCGTGCTCTATTTGGTTCACATGTAAGTTGTTTGTTTCAACCAGACCGAGCAATGCACGCTCTGTTAGTGCCCGTCCTCTCGTGAAGGATTCTGCCATTTCTCGATCCTCAGCGCCAGTGGGGTACTAATGGTGTTTAATGTACTGTGTCGGTGACTGTTTCTAACGTCATGTGCCGTGGGTATTTGGTGTGACAAATCAGTTCTGAAGGGCACTTTCGTGGCTGTCACTGGGCGTTTTATTTGTCACATCTGAGCCTTGCATTACAAACTCCAATTGGAAACTATTGAGTGATGTCGTCATAGTAGTGGTAGTAGGCATCCTTCCTATCATAAAGTAAGTCTAAAATAGCTAATTGTTGCATAATATAAGCATCATCACGTATCCAGCATGTCTTTTGGGTGAAATTGATTTGATTTTGATGTATTGATTTGATTTTGATTTGATTTATTTTGTACGTACGTAGTAAAATCAATTTACAAAACATATGTTACAGTAAACGTGCTGGGATGGAGAAGTCATAATGACATGTTTGAGATCTTCCCTATCTAATGTAACATGAAGTTCCTATATTACAATTTTGTCAAATCAAATAGTAATGACAGTAATAAAGAAATAATGAAATCAGTGGTAAGTGAAACAGTACGACGAATCAATCAAACAAAAAAAAACCAAGGCAGTTCCGGATACAAACGTAGACAGTACAAGGACACAGAGGTTTATCTCTGTTGACGGCTGGGGATTTAAAAGATTAATTTCTGTGATCTAAAGAGAGCCGAGCGATCAGGACAATTGGTAACTGGATCGGCGCCAAATTACTGTCAGCAGACAATTCCCTTCTGAACGCATGACGACATAATGTGGCGTAACGTCAGCACGTATCAGTGTTTTGTTAGATAATACTGGTATCTGGGGTACATTCTCAGTGGCTGTGCGATTGGCGTTTTATGAGTATACATAACAATAACGTTATGGCAAGGCCGAAGATTGTTTAGTAATAGAAGTTCTAACGACGTTATAAATTACAGTTAAGTCTTCAGTTGTCATCTGCATATTTTTAGCCCCGGAATAACAATACTTCACTGCTACCCAGGCTCATGTCGATGACAGAAAACTCCAAATTGTGGAAAGAGTTGCCAATCTGTACATTGTTCCAACAGCAGTCAACTGGAATGGGGGCGGTATCGACTTCCAAAAACCTTTGACCCCTTGCTGACGTCACACGTATGTAAATTCACGTATTCTGAATCCATTGGGTCAGATAAATGAAGAAGACTGAGCGATTCAGTGGACAATTTCCTTCAATTTTTAGTAGAACGGCTTCATTGTCCCATAACGCGATTTTCATGTGAGCATTCAACAGTCTTTATTGGATCGTAAAATATGACACGTCAGACGAAAATGCCAATTTTTTAGGAGAATGGTTTAATTGTAACAATTCAGATGATCTTTTATGTTAGCACTCAACAGTATTCATTGGCTCGTAAAATGTCATACGTGAGTCTGTTATTGTTAGCAGCTTATGCTGCGGTAGGCAAGCCTCGCCAGGAGCGACTATCGGGGTCTGAGATGCACGGCTAATGAAACGTGCGAGTCTTTGGGCGGATTCAATCAAGTCGAAAGTCAATCCTGTCCCAAATGAGGCTCCGGCACGCTCCAGCCGAGCGTGATCACGGCCGGTCAGGTAAAGTTCAGTGGGAAATTAAACACGGCAAGACGCATGCAGGGCGGGCTGAAGGGCGCAGGGACATCCATCCGTTTACCGGCAACTTTCTTATGAACTCCGCCTGCCCACGCACGGGCATACAAGTAAGGGCAAAATCTTTATTGTACTGTGTTTTCATTATACGGCATTATATACCTTATTGCTTGTCTTTAATTGATTTATTTGAATTTTTAAATACGTTTGTGAAGGGAGGCTTTTATACAAGCATATTAATTTTTGGCCTCTCTTTCACTGTTCTTTTTTATCTATATTTACATGTTTATGTATTCTTTATCCCTTTTTTACGTGTGAATGAATAAAATAGATTGATTGAGCTTAAAAGGGTGGACTCTCGGAAGATGCCCGTATTGAACTCTTAAAATTAATGTTTTTGCAACATTTATGAACAAAACATAATCGTGACACTTTCAAGTTGACTTATTTCATGCCGCTGCAAAAGGATAATACGAAACTGCAAAGTAAGCATAGGAAATTATACAAATGTACATTAAGAACATGGTCATTCCATTGAGAATGCTAGGGAAACGTTGAAAAATTATTCGCGATGAAAGCATTTTGGTATCAATCACAAATGTTTGTAGATAAAGGAATATCTGAAAATTGTTAGCCGTAGACTGAAAAGAAGATCCTCTTAGAAAAAATAAATGTAATCAAGTTTCATCTGACAAATTATTGATGCATCCTTCAGAGAAGCATCGCTGTTAAGGTTAGACCTAGATGGATATGTGGATAACACGTTATCACAGCTTTCCAGACATGACTGGAATTAATCGCAGTTCATACCTACAATTTTCCAGAAAAAATCACCACGTTTACTTTCCCCAAGATGGCTTCTGGACGTGATGATAAGAATGGTGTAGATTTTCTAGGACCGGGTGGACTGCCATATTGCCTGTTGGAAGACGTTAAAAAACGTTGAGATATCTGGAGTTTTACATTTTGTACGTCAAAGAATGAACGGAGCTCAAATATCCCTTTTTTCGACTTACATTTTCGCACTGATGACTTCTGGCCATGTTGATAGGAATGAATTCGTTGGCTTTATGTGCCTGTATGGGAGCCATATTGTCTGTTGGAAGACGTTCAAAAGCGCTATTGGGATATCTTGGGTTATTGGGAGTTGTTTGTACGTCACAGAATGAACGGAGCTCAAATATCACTTTTTACGACTTACATTTTTGTCATGATGACTGCTGGCTATGTTGGTAGGAATTATTTGGCTTTATGTGTCTGGATGGGAGCCATATTGTCTGTTGGAAGACGTTTAAACGCGTTGTTGTGATATCTGGAGTTTGATGAACGTCACAGAATGAACAGAGCTCAAATATCACTCTTTACGACTTACATTTTTGTCATGATGACTGCTGGCCATGTTGATAAGAATGATCTGGCTTTATAGGATGGAAGCCATATTGTCTGTTGGAAGACGTTCAAAAACGTTATTTAGATATCAGTAGAGTTTCTTGCACGTCTTAGAATAAACGGATCTCAAACATAATGGAAGATGACAAATATTTTCTCTTGCATTACAATTATCAAATTGTTCCTATCCACCGCCTAGCGTCTATTATGTATGGATCAACCATATCTGTAGCAGTACAATTGGATTAAGTAGATCATAAATATGGTCTTTTTCATACATGGCAAAGCCTACAGATATGGTGAATACCACAATAGATAACTCATAAAAATGTGTCCAACAGCCTTGTGTACTAGCTGGTTTACTAACTGATGATGCATTTTATTTCAAATCCAGAAAAATAGTATTGACGCTACTATTAATGATGAATAAAAGGAGTCATTGGTGTAACACACAATAAGTACCTCTCACACCCTACCCTTAAACATCACACGGTCGTCGGGCATGTTCTAATGAGTAGATTCTGTAACGCCGGAAATTCCACCGGGAAGAGTTAGAAGTTAATTACTAGGAACGAAAACCACGACGCGATAAATAAAAGGGAGCCTGCTTCGGTCTTTGTGCAGAAGACATTTCTATTCAATCCGCGATAATGGATGCATCTATTACATCGGGGCCACTGACCATTAATCCTTTCTTAAGCTCTTAAGACGACAGACTCTTTTCAATTCTGTGATGGATGTGCGGGGGCTTAAGATGTTCCCACCTCCCTCACTTTCTTCCCCAGATAAGAGGGTCTATCGCGAAAAGTACTGCTTCCTTCTCGCGATAAGTGGCATGAAAAGTTGAAAACATATTAGGAAGGCGTGCCTGGGAAGACAAGAACTTTTTGCCCATCGGTCAGAGTTATGCGACCTCTGTAGACCTAAGCCATGTGTATGTGTATGGATCTGTTGGTTTTTGCAACTCAAACAGCTAAAAACTTAAAGACGATGTATAGTGATTTGCTTATGAAAGTTAAATCGGCCTGCAGGTCGCTTTTTCCTGGCGGTAAAAGGCCGTGCCAAATACATAATGCACACAAAGTAACTAACTGGACAAAATATCGTTGTACAACCCGCAGTCGTTTCAGCTATTCTGTAGTTGTAAAAGTCCGTTTATTAGTGCAGTAAAAAGGAACATAGGCGTAGATAGCCTTCCTCCTGACTAATAGATTCACCCCATGTTCCTGAAAGCTTGCCAAACGAGAAGGAATGACGTCAATGCAGTTCCTTCATTTGATTGGAGGGCAGGCGCAGCCCCCGTATCCTGGAAAATGGTATATAATAACTGCAGCCTCCTGGAGGTACAATCTGCAGGGTTCTCCACATCAAAATTCCACCCCTCGCGTTAAGAGCCCCATATTCCTCCATTATTTCGCGACTTGAAACTTCAAACAGTGCCGTTCGCCTGTTTCCAACTTCCGACCAGTGCGCAGTATAGCCGGCTGTTAGAAGCCGAGCTCAGCCTGTCGTCAATTTCTGCGTCCTAAAAGCTTCTATCGTCAACATCAGTGCACTGATATGTTATTGGCTCTAGTCTGCATTTCCCCTGCGTCCATTAAGGACCTGTTGGTGCGTTTTTGATATCCAAAGTGATAGTAGAGACACACAGGATGGTGCTTTTTATTTCGTTTTATTTCATAGAACCATTTCCGTAGGGAAGCCCTATTGGATACTTGAACACGGACTTTGAAAAGACTCGTAAGTAGATTAGAAGCCGGTTTCTCCACCAGAGCAAGCGGCTCCGCCGAGAGACTGTGCCAGAGATCGGCAGAAACGTTCCGCCTTCCAGTGGTCTTCACAACCACACAACTGCCCGGCATTCAGCACCCAGGACAGCGCCAGGCATGGACGGCGACAACGCCACCTCGAACCGCACGGCGCCCGAGCCGTTCCCGGTCCTGCCCGAGGCCTACATCGTCCCGACCATCATCAGCGCCATCATGCTGGTCGGCGTGGCGGGGAACTCCCTCGTCATCTTCGTCATCGTCCGGATCGGCGAGATGCGGACCGTCACCAACTACTACATCGTGAACCTGGCCACCACGGACCTGGCCTTTCTCGTCCTCTGTCTGCCCTTCACCGCAGTCATCTACGCCGTGCCCAGCTGGCCTTTCGGACTCGTCATGTGCAAGCTCAACAACTACCTGTTTCAGGTAAGCCGCGGGTCCCTGGTTTTATTGTGGTTTGTTGTGGATCACCTCTCATTTAGCTATTCTTGCAGGACAGGTTAGAGCACATAAGACAATAAAAGTATATTAAATACAGTTATAGAAAACTTTCATTACATAGTTATTTACTTAAGATTCTTCCTTGAGCCTTTTTGATGATGTAAATCATTAACCTTGGACTGTAGGTCCTCCTGTGCCTACAGGCACATTGGGCAACACCTTTCCATACGTACTAGTATATAACGGCAGCCGCTTCCTCGGCCTATTTCCAGGTTATATTGGCTCTTAACTTTTTTGGTCCTCTTGGAGGTTAGGCGCCAGGTGTTTTTAATCCTGCCTCTCTTCCTTCTGTAACCTGGTGGCACCCAGCTGTGGCAGTCTTTTGAGTGTCACTGACTTGGTAGGCGCAGCATGCGACCTGCCAGTTGTATTCTCTAGCCTGTTTTGATGTGTCCCAGTGTGGCTAATACGAGACGGAGGTTTGCCAGACCGCGTCCGGGTGATTTGAAGTGAATCACCAACCATCGCACACCCAACTCTTTCTCGAGGTGCGTTTGTTAAACACCGGAAGAAGGCCAGAAGAAACATGAAACGTGGTTTGCAATATTATCGTACTGTAGACAACAGAACTACACTTGGCAGACGCGCGAAGACCACGGACGATTGCCCGCACGTCTTTAAAACACGCTGTGGTTGAAGAAACACATACTGCATGCAACTCGCTCATTCTTCATGTTAACATTCATGCTGCGCTACAAGTTTTCCATACAGCTTACGTAGCAACAAAACACCATTTTGCAGCAAAGCAATGAAACAAAGTTGTTTTAAATTCTTGTTTTATTCGGTCTTTACTTTGCCGACTCTCATAGCAGTAAATGGATGAAATCTCGTATTGAATATAGGAGCATCATCATCAAGTTTCAACGAGTTCAAAATGAACCGTGACGCCGTGAATGTGCCGTGGTCTGCATGTAGCGCGGCTCTCCGTGCTAAGATCAATTTTCGTGAGATTTTCTTACTTCTGCGGCTGCGTACATTTCTTTCTTTTCCACAAACTTGAACAATCCACTCACAATCCCCCCTGACAGATCGCCCATACATGTTCACGTGCAACACAGATGTAGCTTTAGATAACTTTCCTCTCTTATTGATTTTCTGACGGAATGTTTTCCAATTTGTATGTTGATATGATCCTGATTTCCGTCAGAATGTCCGAATGAATGTCAGACTCCCTGATGATGCCCGCTGCAGGCCCTAAGTACAAAGAGATCCGTGTAAGTCCCAGGGAATCAGCCTGTCCATTCAAACGGCTCCAGGCGGACTAAAACGCTAATCACGAATCATCATTATCCATCGTGTTCTGTGGCTGCCGTAGTGAAGGGTCATATGTATCAATCAGCAGTCATCATCACCATGTTCAGCCGTCAGCTCATGAAGGCTACATCAGCCGCTGATGGATGTTCATGATACATTTTAATGTTCATGTTCAAGTTTATTGGGATAGGAACTCGTGGGCCTGGTTAGTCCGAATGGCGTCCTATACGTCCTACTAAAATGCATCATAACAGAGAAACAATATAAAACTACATATTATCCCGTGGCTACAGTGGCTACCTTGTGAGTGGCACTAAGTCATGCAGGGGGTGATCCTCATCGGTTCCAACAGTTTTCCTAGTTATCCTGATATGCCCTAAGGATTGCCTATAAAACCCACGAGTGAACGTTGTGTATATTGAGTAAGATGTTTGATGTAGTTGATAGTGATACACCGATGTTGCCTATGCGTTAGCTATTTTACGGGACTGTAGCTTGAAACGCATAAGATTAAGAAGCTTACAGTACGCTAAAGCACTGAACAGTCACATCAATGCTATCGACTATTTTCTGCAACTGCAGTGGTGAAAACATGCCATCAGTCACCCTTCTTCATCGTTAGCAATCGTTATAACATCACCAATGTCTGCTTAGTGAATCTATATCAACCCTGATGATGTTGACCCAGCGAAAACCAAACATTCATTCTGGACACATGTCAAGTATTGAACATGTTTTCTAGAGACGTTTTCGTACTTTTCACTGCGTGTACAAATGGTATACCTCATCTAAATTGTCAGCTTCCAATTGACACTACAACAACCCACCATTTTGTTGCTATCCCGTACTTTATCACTACTTTCTAGTGCTCAACAGACTAGATAAGAGGCGGTCGCATCCACCTTATCTTGTTCTCAAGAGTCAGGAAGAGACAGGGGAGTTATTGATCACCGCTGCCTTTTAATAATAGATAACGGCTTTATTATGACAGATATCCACACATCGAGCGAGATGTCCCAATACGTGATGAAACTAACGGCCCGTTTGATGGCTTATTGCTAAACTATCAGGCTTCTATTTTTTACGGACAGTGGCATCGATTTACTATCGCAGTGAACACAGTGTAAAGAAACATTGGTAGACCAGATAGAAATGTGAATGTTGAGAATCCCAGAATGCCTGGCTGCAGGATAAACAAGAATTCGGAGACATACACAAAATAATTAAGATCCTGTATGATGGTGAGTGTGTTCTCTTCTCATCCACCATAGCATCTACAAGTCTTTGTTATTGTGCATAGGAAACAACACAGTAAGCGCCACCAGATGTAGATGTGATTTATAGCTTTCTCCGTCCGGAAAAGACTGGACCCAACCATATCAATTATAACCTGTTCCTAAGGGTCATGTGGAAACACACACACACACACACACACACACACACACACACACACACACACACACACACACACACACACACACACACACACACACACACACATGGATAAGGTACATTCGCCAAAGCTGGTTGATCGACGGCATCAAACAGGCCAAATCCATAAAACATTATTCTAACATGCAGCATGTCAGGCTATCCCGTATATTTACCCGGAACGACATTGATCTATTACCGTAAACCCCGGGCTGAGCTTTGCGATCAATCACTTTATATGGTAGTAAACCTCTGTTTTATAGTGCTGCTTGTATTCCGTATGAAGCAGTAGTACCGATGGCAAGTACTCAGTTCTTTTTCTGATCACTGGAAGTTTGTTGTCCGGTACCGCGGTGTGTGGACGTAGTTTTACGACCGTGGTACTCAGGGCTCTGATACTGATTGAACCTACTTCAGCCTGGCTATAAGCCCTTTCGCCATTAGCGGCGCGAAATGCATGATGGGTAATGTCCGCCATTTTTGGAGATAAACACGCCGCCTCGCGAACATGTTATGTACGAAAGGTGTGTACACCTTGGGAAAGGTGTAAGCCGTTTTGGCGTTCAAACAGCGACGTTAGCTTCCGAACAGCTACGTTTGGATAGATCTTATTCTTAAGAATAAACGGAGTTTTTGAGTTGAAAGTATTTTAATAGTTCAGACGTGTTTTTTTGTGTGTGCTTCGTGTGTGTGTACCGGCAAATTATGCCTGTGCCGTGTGTGTGTTTTTGCTGGTCGTAAGTGAAGATTTTCGTTGCGATTTCGTGCCGAAATGGAGGACGAGGCTGATGGTCCTTCCTTGGAAGAAATCGGACATTGGAAAGTGCAGGCAGAGAGGGACTCAAAACAACGGGGAGCTGGAGAAAGGCCGAGCTGCGAGCTTCTTTGGCATACAGCGCCGTGCAGCTCGGTATACCCGTGAAGCAGGACGAGATCGCCGGCAGTACGCCGAACTGTTGAAGGTTAATGGCACAAAACTACCTGATCCCCTGCTGGACTTGACTGAAGGGTGGCTGAAGGAAAAGGACGCCGTGGAACAAATTATGGCCTCCGATCGGCTTCACGGACATCGCCAAGTGGCTGCTGTGCGAGGCCCCGTGCGTCAGCGAACCAAGAGACAGCAGCTGGAGGACGGATCGAAAGACAGCAGCACCGGACGATCGTCTCCTCAGCGACTACAAAGAGGGGAAAGCTTACTCGTACTTCGAGAGCAAGTGGGTAAAAACAGAAGTCCACTACCAAACAAAACCAACTGATACAGTTCTAGAGAGTTCGGGGTTCAGAGTTCAGGAGTCACTTGAGCGAGCGGCCACGTGGTTTGTGGGCCCACTGAAATCTTGTTGTTGTATCTAATCACTAAACATTTCCATGGGGAGGATGTGTGTACAGGGGCACTTGTTGCAGCTGAACAGTTCTTCAAGGAGTTTGTTGTCCCCGAACTTGTACACAGGAAGATACAGAAGAACAATAACTCCAAAACCACAGAGTGAAGTTCTATCAGCCATATGGTCATTTTTATTCCAACCAAGGAGTGGTTGCCTCAATGTTCCCTCAATGTTCCCTGTATGTTGCCTCAATGTTCCAAAAAAATCTTGTTTCACAATTTCATTGTTCAAAATTATTTGCTGTTCAAGTTTCATGCATTCTAGTACAAAAATGCAGTAGATATAGTGTTGGATAGTTATACAAATGTATATAGATTATAGGGTAAACTCATACATTATTATGTCCTTGGCATTTGTTTATGAAGTATTTCCCAGCAATGAAAAACATTGACAAACAAGTGAAAGATTTCATTTCAAAAGAAAATTGTATCATTTTCCTTCTATGTAGAAAGGCAATCCTTACAACAAGCACTCACTTCATGTATGATACAGTATATGCAATGTAATGATGACTTACATTGCATATAATGATTACTAAAAAAAATTATGACTAAAAAAAAAGATGATGAATATGTAAGCTCAGAGATGTAGACTATGATTAGTATGAATGACACTGCCAGGTTTACTTGATCAGGTCTGGCTGCAGGTTAATTAATGCAGCACAGACCTTGACAATATCATCTGCTGCTGATATCAATGTTATGGGAAATGTACCCCCCAGGATTTTGAAGTCCTTAAGTCTATTGATTGCCCGTTCCACATGAATTCCCAAGTTAGCCACTTCCTTTGTTTTCCCTACTTTGTCCCTAGTCATCTGACGATTCCCCTGTGCAGCAGTTGGAATTTCCAAAGTAG